ACCTAGTTTTAGCAACAAAACTTGAATCAATGTCGGGAATCGTGTTTCCATTTTCGGCGGCAACATCAATGGAATACGCTTGTTGCAAACATTTGTTCCCTCGGTGGAGACGCTTCTTGGAACATTTTGAAACATTTTCGGAAACAAATGTTGGCATTTTTTGTTCATTTGTCAACAGTTGGAAACATAAATGTTGTCAACATTTTTGGTGGAGAGGCGGCTTTATAGTTACCACGCAAGCGGCTTTGCTACCGCTGTTTTTTAGTCGTTATAAGAAAGCTGCTGCCATCTCCTGATTTTTGCATTGTTTAGTTAATTAAAATTAGGCGGAAATGCGTATGCGTAAATTTAGTGACATTCATAACATTCCAAATTAATCCAAAATTAAGTTTGCAAGACTCAATCTTGAGTGTTATGTTAACACTTGTAAACTTGTAAAAAAAAAAAACTTGTAATTGACATAATTATTATTTGTCAGAGAATTTAAAAATGTGTATTAAACAGTTGTATATAAACAAACATTTTCAGTTGATGGTAAGTGCTGTGGCCCATAGACATCTACATTTATCCTCGATTAAGAATCAAAATACAGATGCGTCGTCACCCGTGCCTCGTTTACAGTGAAAGGGTTTACGATTCTCTACACTCACCATACGAAACACAGCAGCATAAGGCCCGCCACACTCATACGGAATCCCGATTTGCCCGCAAAATTTCGAACGGAAAACTACCGTACGTGTGTGACGGGTCATAGATTTTATATGGACTTAATGCGTTCAGAATCTCGAAACGGAATTCCGTTTCGGAATTTGGAACGGATCGGCCACACACATACGGAATCCCGTTTTGCCCACAAAATATCGAACGGAAAACTACAATACGTGTGTGACGGGTCATAGATTTTATATGGACTTTAATGCGTTCGGAATTCCAATTCGGAATATCGAAGCGGAATCCCGAAACGGAATTCCGTATGTATGTGGCCGGCCTAAGCTGCTATATTACGTTGGTATTCTGTGAGAGCGCGGTAGATCCCCGGTCGAGCCGACACATTCATGCTACAACTATACCTAATCTGTCGTCTTTGCAATAACGTTGTATGATGTTGTTACGCGTACGCCACAGATCTTTTTCGTTCCAATTTCGTATATTTATCCCACTGTAAAGCGAAGATGATTTAAAGTTACACAAAGTAGGTATTTGCGGCTAACACACATAATGCTTCGTAAATATGTAAATGATGTATTTAATACGCATATTAAATTTCATATGTTTCGTGTTGCCTTTAGTCAAAACCGTGTTATTATTAATACTTACCAAACGGACGTAGTTTAATGTTTTAATTATGTAAATTATATTTTATTAATGTGGGCTCGTGTTGTCGAAACCGTTAATTATAATGGTGGCATCCAAATTATGCTATATTTTCTAGTTTTTCTATAGGCTTTTGTACGTGGTGGAGCCAAGCTGCAGCTATATTAGTAGTATAGTTGCAGCACGAATGGGTCGGCTCAACCGGAGAGGACCACGCTCTCACAGAACACTAGCGTAAAATAGCAAATTAACACTGCTGTGTTTCGTATGGTGAGTGTAGAGAACCAAAGAACCTTTTTACTGGAAACGAAACATTCCATCTTAGTCTGCATTTTGATTCGTAATCGACGATATATTTACATGTCTATGGGCCACGGGATAAGCTTACTATCAGGTGGACTGTGCTCGTTTGTCACTACTATAAAAAAGTAAGTTGTAAATAAGTTATAGACGTTGCGCTGCTAGTCTGTGCGGTTTGCGAAAAAGGAACCGAACCGATCAAGATTTTTATTGAATGAAAGAATAATATTATTAAATTGTAGGCACATGGGCATGTACCATTCCCGTGATAGAAAGGTGCTTGGAGGTGGTTTGTTTATCCCAGATCGCAGTACCATATCAGACCTCTTGCAATTTTAACGCTACTCTCTGTTACCGGTTTGGTCACATTTATATCTTCATCTCTTTCTAGCTTTTCCCATAGTCGTCTCTTACGTCACCCCCAGTACGGCTGGCATGGGCTGGGGACAACAATTCTATTATATCCACTGACAAGAGATAAAATTATCTTGTCCCTATGCCAAAGCACGGCAACGGGGAGAAGTATATCCCCGTTTGACATAATGAGTAGACATATCCTCCGTCCGTAGCATGGAGCCACATTAAAGCATGGAGTCTCTATACTCCTTGAAATTAAAGATAAAAAATTATGCTTTTTTTACATTTGAAAGGGACAATTCTATCCTAGTTCATTGGACGTGGGTTTAAGTTTATATTCATACATAAAAATATATCTAAGTCTATCTCCCATTTTATCTACTGTGGATATTATATCCACCGGTGTGCCCAATGCCCATGCTCGAAGAGTGGATAAAACTAAGCGAGGTGATAAACATTTTCTCCTTTTCCCGGGGATAAAATTGTCTCCTGCCCATGCTAGAGCCCTGCAGGACAAAATAGGATGGTGGAGTCACTAACGCCACCGCCATAATTTTTACAGCATTATTAAATTATGCGCAGTTATCAACATAATAGTTGTATAATAAACGTCGCAATAAAAATATTTACTTAGATATTACTATAATAAGCATTGTTTATTACGAACGTAAGAAAGTCTCGTAGAAGAAATTTGAACTGTTTACTGAGCAGCTGATGATAAATTTTGTAGAAAAGCAACGCCTTCAAAGTCGATCTTATAATTATAAACATACGACTGATAGTTGCATAAGGTAATTCATGATGATAATGCATTATATAGACTTGTATATTCTTGTAAGCACTACCACTACGTAGGTACGTACATTTTCCGTTGTTGTGTCTGTGGAGTATGTAGGTATTTAGTTTATCAGTTGACGTGCTGCAAAACAATTTTATCGGTTCCCACAAAATGATAACATGAATTTTATTTACAAACCAGCAGCGCTTTATTGAAAGAGCTTGCATAAAATTAAACTCTAAAACAATAAAAATTTATTGTTATTTCATATTAGGTATTTACTGGCGACCCGTCCCGGCTTCGCCTGGATATGATTTATGTAATTTTTTTTTGATGAAATATATCCTAGATCTCTCCTGGCATTGATCTCTATTTGTTCGTAGTTTCATTACAGTAGGTTCAGCCGTTTCGAAGATTAGCTCGGATAGACGGACAAAAACTTTTAAAAATTGACATATTTTATGTTTTAATAGCATGCAAATATTAACCTACCCCTTTAATAAAATAATATTATTTAATCTTGCACAATAGGTACTAGCAACTTATATAAGATTATGAAACTGAAAAGGTTCTGTTTCGTTGAATAGATATCATCCGTCATATTCTTCCTCAACGACGTATTTTTATTAATTTCTTTCTTTTTAAAATGGTCAAGCATCGATAAATACAGTTGATGTCGCTATTATTTCGACGTCTTCCATCGTTGCTGGCTCAACGCAAATTACGCAAACTGAATGCATCGCGAGAATGTAAACAGGCACTCGTTACCTCGCAACAACACGCGAGCTGCGAGGCGAGTCTAAACGGGCTATGATTGTCCATTTAGACTCTCCTACTCTCCTAGACCGTGGTCAAGTTGGACCAAACTGTACACAGTGTGCAAAATTTCATTGAAATCAGTTCAATAGTTTAGGAGTTCATCGCAGACAAACAATGTGACAAGTAATTCTTATATATAAAGGTTATAAAAATAATAGGTATATAATAAAAAATATATATGTATTTATATACAGCTGTTATGTGCCTTTTTATTATATTTAGGGTTCTTATGACACCCGCGAGACGTAATATGGTAAAGATTTCTTTTACCTTTATTATAAAAATAATAGGTATATAATCAAAAAATATATATGTACTAGCTCGCCAGGCAGACGTTGTTCTGCCCTTTCCAACGAACCTTCCTATGAAAATCCTTAAATTTGCAATAAAAAATTTTGAGTCATTTATCGGTATAAAAACTATCCTATCACCGAAGTTGGACCAAAATGCACACAGTGTGCAAAATTTCATTCAAATCAGTTCAGAGGAGTCCATCGCGGACAAACAACGTGACACGTAATTTTTATATATAAAGATTTATATATAGCTGTTATGTGCCAGTATTTACAGTAGGGCTCTTATGACACCCACGAGACGTAATATGGTAAAGATTTCTCTTACTTAGTGCCGATTTCACCAACGACGTCGTTGTCTAAGATTAACTAACCCGAGAATAAAGATATTCCCTACTTTTACTCTCAGATAACTTACTGTACATTTCACCATGCAAAACAACAGATTAGTTAGCCTCAGATTAAGTATTCTCTGGAATAACGGTTTCGCTTATCTGTGGAAGACTGTATTTGAATGAGCAAATGAATGATTGTATAAAGAAAACAAATTAAGTATGTCATTGCTTTCACTCTCGGCGAGGTACACAACAAGCTTTTTACTTTAGATGGGTTATACGTCAGTTTGTAAAGCTAAGCTATGACGATTCATTTTCATCAACTGTTGTTAAACGTTGTATTTTATCTCGGTTTTTGGTTATTTTTTCAATTTTAATTAATAATGTCGGACAGAAAACGCAGTCCTAACTGGCAAATGTCGGAAAAGATGTTGCTTGTGGATTTAGTGGCTGAACATTTTAGTTTAGTAGAAAATAAGCGTACCGATGGTGTTACTATGAAACAGAAAAATGCGGAGTGGGTAAAAATATCGGAAGAATTTAATTCCCAAACCACACTTGGATATAGGACGGCAGAAAACTTAAAATCACAGTGGGAAAGTCTGAAGAAATCCACCAAGAAAGAATCGTCTGCTGCAAGGCAAAGCTTGATTCAAACAGGTAATAATCTTCATTTCTACATGCTACTTCGAAGCTAAAGCTGTAATGATTTATACCATGTTAATTGTTAACACCTATGGAATTTTTTGTGACATCCTTGACTTGTTACTTTGTGTTTTTAACTCTAATGTTTAATATTTTGTTCAGGTGGTGGACCTGCAAAGCCTAAGCTTGAGGACAGCCCATTTCATAGCAAAATCTTGGCTTTGATATCTACGGCGGTAGTTGGACTAGTCAATGAATATGACAGTGATAACATGAGTAATAATCATGTTATTGAAGAGATTCCCAGCAACACATTGGCTTCCACTAAAGGTACACAATATTTGACTGAACAGCATCACTTAAGTGGTATCTCTAAATTTTATTTAACAAACGAGTGTTATTTTATCAATAATGTGTGTTTTTTCAGTTCCTGATGTAACAGACATATTTATTCCTACCCCTATATATGCCAAGTCCATGACAATGCCTCTGTCTATGGATATAGATATAAGCATACAAAATGATGATAAATCACAAGGAGATACAGCTGTATGTAACCTAAAAATTAATATTAAAATAATATATTCTAAAGTATTTCTTTTAAATTTTTTATAGAGTCAGACTATTAGTTGAATTACCTAACCCATTAAAAGTCTATTAAGTTAGTAATTTTGTGAATAAATTACAAAATTATTCTTATTTTGAAGGATTGGGGAGACTACACTCCAAAACTGCTGCAAACTCCAAAATCTGCACCTCTACGGGCAATGAGTAAGAGAGAAGAGGATGTAGGAACTTCTACTCAAAGTAAGAGTTGGAGTTCCAAGCGCAGACCAGCTCTACCATCTTCATCGCTAGAGGATTTACAAAAAACAAAAAAAAAAGCTACCGAAATGCAGATGAATTTTGCTGCTGAAGAGAGAGAAGAAGCAAGAAAAATTTTTGAGATGGAAATGAAAATCAAAAATGAAATTTTAAAGCAGGAGAAACTAAAAACTAGGTTATTACTATTACAATTAAGGCGGAGAAAACAAAAAAAATTATTAAAAACTGTGACTTAATAAAAAATGACTTATTTAACTTTTTTCCCACAATAAACTAAATAAGATTCCTAAAGTGATTGTTTATTAGGAGTTCTCTTGCTCTACTTCGCTGAGGAGTATTTGATCGTTCACAACTTATTTGTCCATTTTGTAAGAGCGCCTCCCAAGGTGCTGGAAGAATCAAACCTGGATCATCAGGTGGAACTGTTTCTCCTCGTTGACGCAATATGTTATGCAGTACCGCTGTTGCTATAATTATAACCAAGGCCTTGTCTAATTTAACTCGTAGTCCTAAAGCTAGTATTGGAAATCTTCGTTTCCAAACCCCATAAGACCTTTCAACAGCGTTTCTTGTCCTGATCTGCGACTCGTTGTACAGTTGCTCTACTGCTGTTCCAGGATTCTCTAGTGGGGGCATAGAATAGGATGTAGCAGCATATCCACCATCTACAAGTAAAATTCCTTCACCATAATCACCAGCTTCAAATTTTGCTTTACGGCAGCAATTATTAAATATGGTACTGTCATGTGCTGACCCAGGCCATCTTGCGACAATATCAATAATTTCCAAATTTGCATTACATATAGTCTGGACATTAATAGAAAAATAGCCTTTTCGGTTTCTAAAAAGTTCTGCCTGATCACCCCCGGGTGAAGAAATTCTGACATGTGTGCAGTCCATTGCCCCTATAACTCTAGGGAATCTTGCAATACCATAAAACTCCCTTTGATTTTGCCGAATTTCCTGTTGAGTATTTGGAAATTTTATGTACTCGTGGTTCAATGACGCTATGGCAGCACTAACTCTATGTATTATTCTATGTGCTGTAGGTGTGCTGAGCCCACTAAAATCACCGATCGTTAATTGTGAATTATTCGTAGCATAAAATCTTAGTGTTGCCAAAAGCTGATTGATCGGAGAAATTGATTGATTCCTGTAAACAAAAACAATTTTATTTAGAGCAATTCATTGCCGTATTATGTACCTACGAACAGTATAAATAGGTACAAAGACTCACCTCTCAGATATAAATTCCAAATGATCTTCAATTTTGATCAAAAGATTATGAGCTGCTGCTTTAGATAACCGAAATCTTATCCTAAAATCTTCGTCATCATAGTCATAAAAATAATTATTCCTTTCTTTTATCCACCTTGGACGTCTTACAACATAGGTTTCATCTTCACTATCATCACTGTCACTGTTGTTAATCATTCTTCTCAAACGTTGCATTATGTAAAGCTATATACTCTCAATAATAATTAAATTAAAAATGTGTTAACCAAACAGCAATTCAAGAACAAGAAACTTGGACGTACGCGACTGACTATGAAATGTCAAATAATTAACAGCTGACAGCCAGTCGGCCATTTTTAACCGAAGAATAACTCCGTATTCCTTCAGAATCGGGAGTATAAATCTTATCTCTTGGTTAACTATTTATTCTTGGGTTAAATTGTTGGTGAAATGTAAAATTTGATATCCTAGAATAACTTATATCATTACTCTTGGTATAAAACTTATCTGAGTTTGGTGAAATCGGCCCTTAGTCATATTACTGCTATAATAATATACTTGCTTTTCACAAAAAAGTATTTTAATATGCATATTGTAATATGGCCACAGGCAACATAAGTCATGCTAGTGGGTTTTTGCGTCTTTTATCAAACGTCATGAATATTAGGAAAGGTGTTTGTTCATTGTCAGAACGTAATCGGGTCGTTTATTATACGAATGTACCTTTTGGCAATAAACTAATTAAGTTACTACTTTTAGTTTATTTTTTATAATAGTTTTCAATATTGTACATTATATTATGTAAATAAACGTATCTGTAAATGTCCAACACGATACTTATTCGAATTAATATTCCAATATTTCGTGCTGAAACTCATTCGAGTTTCGTGTTGAAGAGTTTCGTTTACGGGCGAATAATATTTTACAAAGTTTATTTGCGTGTGATAACATTACCGTTATAGACTATTAAAATCCACTGCTGAACATAGGCCTCCCCCATAGATCGCCTCATAAGGGGAATATTTGCCATAGTTGCCACGCTTGGTAAACGGGTTGACAACCCCAGTTTTTTATTTTAGTCGTTATTAGGAAGTCGCTGCTGCCTATCTAATTTGTTTCCCTCTGTCGCCTCTTACCGCACCCACCTGATAATATGTAGTAGATATTCTTACACCGCCACTAGCCACTACACGGTATGGCGTATGTAATGTGACGGCATTTGCATGTATAATGTAGGTAAGCTGTTTTTAACTGATAGTTAAAACGAGAAGGTTATTACTTCGATTGTATTTCTTTTTTTTTAAGTACGTAAAGCAATATCTCTGAGGCTAGTTCGCAGACTTGGTTGGTTTTTTTAAATCGAAAATGGAATTTAAAATGGTGCTTTATAAATTTGAATAAGATCCTAATTAATTCGATGTATGTTATTAATGGAATCAATGGGCTATTTGCATAGTTGCCGTGTTTAGCAGGCGTCCCCCAGTTCAAAACCGTGCTTGTGATACTTGCGGCCTATGATCAGCGGTGGACTTGTGAAGTGTTGCAATTATAATGATTTTGATAATATGTTGTCATGTCGACAAGATGAATCTTATTTCTGTGATATTTTCATACGTGGTAGAGCCATGCTGCAGATATATTATGATTGTAGCATGAATGGGTCGGCTCGACCGGGGAAGGACCACGCTCTCACAGAATACCAGCGTAAAATAGCAGCTTAACGCTGCTGTGTTTCGTATGGTGAGTGTAGAGAACCGGAGACCCTTTTTACCGGAAATGAGGCATTCCATCTTAGTCCTCACGGATGACAACGCATCTGCATTTTGATTCGTAATAGAGGATAGATGTAGATGTCTATGGGCCGCAGCAACCACTTACCATCAGGTGGACTGTGTGCTCGTTTGTCACCCTTATCCTATAAAAAAAATATATTTATTGTATAAATTTTTTTTATAGCATAGTCCACCTGATAAACATCTACATCTATTTTCAATTACGAATCAATATGCAGATACATTTTCACCTGTGAGCATGGAATGCCTCTTTGCCAGTAAAAAGGGTCTCCGGTTCTCTACACTTACCATACGAAACAGCAGCATTAAGCTGCTATTTCACGCTGGTATTCTGTGAGAGCGTGGTCCTTCCCCGGTCGAGCCGACCCATTTATGCTACTATTCTACTAATAGCTGCAGCATGGCTCTACCACGTTAAAATATTACCATAAAATGTTCTGACACGTGATACTAGCAATAGGGTGTATTAACTGGGACTTAGTGACTGTTCATAAGTCAAGCGTGGTGTTCGACACATCCTGCTAACTTGGGCAAAGCCCATGTTCACCTTTGGAAATTCTATAAGAAACCATTTTTTTTTCTTTTGACATCATTTTACAGTTATTAGTATTTTGTATTTATAATTTAAAATTAAGTAGGTGTTGAGTGAACCTTATAAAATCTTTAATATTATAATAATATATCTTTTTTGTAACACAGTTACTCCTTTTATTTACTTACCCATTATCTAATCAAGCTATGACGTTAAAAATATTACTACTTTTTTAAAGAAATATTGTAATATATTATGTCAAAATTCGGGTCCAAATGACCCACCCCAACGTACGTGTAGTAAAGTAATGTCAAGCATATAAAATGGCTACTTAAATATTTCTTATATTATTATTTTTTTTTTATAAAATGTACTCTATGGGCATTATCATTCCACGTCTCGCACATAATTTTCTTTTTCACTTGCAACTATGTGTTGTCTGAATATTTGCGAAAGACATTGTTATTCTACGAAACCCGTTCATAAATGCATATTTAATGAAAGACATAAGGAGAGCGGCCAAGAGTCAGGTGATCCGTGAATAATTGGCACTACATCCAACTCATTTACGACCATTTCAGTGAAGGAACGGTAGTATGGAAATGTGTGTTGCATCAACTGGCTTTTCTGGTGTTTTCGATGTGATTACTTTTACGCGAAACTTGATTTAATTTGTCATAATCTGTGAAAGTACTGGATATACCAAAACTTTGTTGGAAATCGTGCGTAATTTTTGTCCAAAAAAAGAAAGGTTTTTTAAAAGAAAAAAGTTTTTTTACCTTGTTTGTTTGTCACCCATAATTATTAACTGACTTCGAAAATGAGGAGGTTCTCAATTCGAGTGTATGTTTTTTTTTAAATATCTTTTACATTTTGTATGTATGTTACGCGATATCTTCGCAGATTGTGAACCAATTTTGATGATTCCTTTTTTATTAAATAGGTTATACTTCAATGGCGGTCCCATATAAATTTAAAGAAAAAAATAACTTCTTTTTTAGCAATTTGAAGTTGGTTTTTAGTTTTTGTTAAAGTTATAAATATGTAAAATTCTCTTTTGTAGTGTTTCTTATAATCTATATATATATATATATATATATATTAAACGCACATTGATTCTGGACTACTGTTTACTCATGCAACCTTTAATGTACAAAATAATACTTACAGCGAAATTAAAGTCTATTGTTTGGTTTATATCATCTTAGTCTTCAGGAGAGTGGTTTGGAAGAATACATTAGTAGAAACGTGTAAACAGTAGCTTTTAGTGATTAGTGTACTACTCGCTTTCGTACCTAAGTATGATTTTAATAGCACTCGCATTCGAAGTTAAGCTAAGCTATTATATTTAAGCTATAAGTTAAGCTATTATATTTTCTATACTAGCTAGCCTCCGACAGTGTCGCCGAGTGTCACCATTCATCATACAAACAATATTATGCGATTCGTGCGTACTGTTAAGCGTAGGTACTCATAACTTTTTTTTTATCGTGTATTTCTGCATTAATTTTTTAAACATTGTAAGTCAGTCGTTGACTTCTATCCCACCTGATGATAAGTGTTGATGTAGCCGAACATAGTAAAGCGCACTGGCTTTGCTTAACAACAGTCTATTCACTCTTGCCTTGAAGACACCCATTGGATAAAAAGCCATGCTGGCTGAAGGAATGGCGGAGCAAACCGTTTGATTCGAATGCTTGGCAAATTGATAACGAAGGGGGGGGGGGGAGACTGGACAAGTGTTTGGTTGGCCGATGGTGAAAGGGAGAGAGAAAAATTTAGTTATACAATTCCTGCGCACGGTCTCCGAAATGCATCCTGTAGAAACCGAAAGACTGGCTACTTTACGCCTGGGTTCGAGACTAGACTTTAACCAGATTAGGGTTACTAGTGCGTCTTTTAGAATACCTTTCCATTAAGTCTTAAGCTGCTAGGTGACATTTACAAACACTAGCCCGTACATGGGCAGTGACACTCCATGCACGACCAGTTTTGCGCTTTATATAGAGTAAGCAGCTGTCCCGACGTGAAGTAATAATTATAATAATGCAAAATTAAATTACATTAGTCAGATGTAAATAAACTTCGCCGCTTATTTACTATTTTTTTCAAGCATGGTTTTATTTTAACAGGTGCTTAAGAAAGATCGAGAGTATCGTTACCAATAAAAATGGTCTTTAGTTTCTCCGACGCTATACGAAACAATAGAATTACGCTGCTATTTTACGCTTGTATTCTGTGAGAGCGAGGTGCTTCCACAATCGAGGTGACCTGTTTGTGCTGCATCCATAAAACAGCCTCAGCTAGGCTCTAACTACTAAAACACAAAATAATCCATAGCACGATATACGTACAACGTACGCATATAAGAAATTTGTCTATAGGTATTATATATTAATCACTATAACGGAACATTTTATTTGCGGGACTGTTCCGCAGTTTTCGAAATGGTTGGCTATGTATATATTATAATACATTTAAGGCCGGCTCCACATTTGATCATCTTAACGTATCTTGATCAGGCGTATTGCGCACCCATTTCGACAATATCGTTTCACTAGCACACACTATACGGTCATTAAACGCGTCCACACGTAACCATACCGTATCATAATATTAACGTTCGCTACGTAAAGTTCTCTATCAAAGCGTTCGATCTTTTCCACTTCCAAACTTTTCAAGACCGTGTATCATCGTCTCATCGTGATACAGTATAAAATACGTCCATACTACTGATATCAATACGTGTATCCGATACAAGGTGTATAGATACAAGGTTTTGTGCTGAACGGGTATACGGTGTCACAAATGCATGTCACATTACACGATCGCGTATAGTTTTTCGTCCAAACTAGGATGGTACACGTCGGCAACATGCCATGGAGATACGTGGACCCGGCATAATAAAATTCTCCATCCAAGGCCATCAAAGGCGCCACGCCACGCGGCGTTTTCGTCGCACGGACGGACCGGTCACTAGTTTTTATGT